GTTTTTAGGTTTTTCTCTCATGCGGTACGCAATGCCGGGTAGATCCCCTAAAAGTGCTCACAGAAGGCACTGCCCTCCTTCTTTAGCGACTCGTAATCAAATCAGACTTCTACCGGCAGGTAGAGCACAAAAAGGGAAGCTTCTAGGGAGGCAGCTTCTGTATCTCCAGCCATGAGTGTACTACTCATGGGGTGTTCGTCCCGCGCTGTCGGACACTGAGTATTAGTCCCAACGACAGGCTTTACTATTGAAATTCAGATTTCAAATTTGTTACCATATTCTCATATTTAGAAATGGATAACGTTTTCTTAATCTTAAAGCAATATTAACACACAATAAAAATAACATTGTAATTTATCATGGTACTTTTTATTATAAATTAAAATAAATCTTTAACAGTTAATTCATCATCATCATTATCGCAACAGCCCCATGGTGGATCAAAGCCGTCTGCCTACAGGCAGTTTTCTAGACAGGACATGTTTTCTTTTTAAGGGGTAGGGTTGTCAGCAATACGTCCATAACAGTTGATTGGTTTTAAAATTTCAAGGGTTATCAGGCATACATACAAATTCCAAGGGTTAACAAATACATATTTAAGAAAATTATTTTACTCATAAAATGATTACAGTTAATTTTTTTATTTATCTCTTAAATAAGTTGTCCATGTTCAAATATCGCGCTACTTTATTTCTTTTTTTATTATGATTTTTTTTTCTCCTTAGGCATGTCCATAGAGATGCATAACAGTTCCTTCTAAAATATTATTAGAAGAACCTAAATCTCGCTTGCGAATGTTCATTTTAAATTACTCACTAATTATATGCTCACTAAACTGTTCGCTCTAAATGGATCATCTAATTGCTCCTTCAGTGATGCACTATTAATTACTGTGAGGAGCCTTGCTTTCCGAAAAAGAAAATCTCGAAATTGTATTAGGCTTTCTCAGAAATTATTAAGAGCAAAAAAATAAATTGTCTAACAAAAACTAAAGATCTCATTAGAATGTGGTCTAATTCGAAGCAACTCATTCTGAGAATTTTCTGTTAATGATGTTCTCAGAATTCTGCCAAGAAATTATTTTTTAATCATACATCCTGAAAAAAAATCCTGCTTCGTTCATTGATTATATATGATGTAAGGAAGTGTTAATTATTGTTATATTTCTGCACACGTATTGATTAATTTTAAGTAAAACTGTTTTATATACAGACAACTACTTTAATAGTGAGCCTGAATGGCCGAATGATTAACGCTGGCTCTCGGTAACACAAGTTTCGGGCTCGACTCCCGGTGGTGGCAAAACGTAGGTCCCGGTCTAACATGATCGTAAAGCGTTGCGGGGGTATTGTTACTCCGCGTCCGTAGCTTATCTTCAAGCTACACGCACATTCTGGGTAGTGCTAAGTGAGTAACGCAGAGTGCAGCTCTAGCCTTAAGGTATCGGGTTAGAGTCCCGGCGGCGCCATGGATGTTTGTAGTGGCTCGAAATCCACTTTAAATCGTAGATCCCGGTTTAATAGGATCGTAGAGTATTGTGGAGGTAGTGTTACTCGCGTCCGTAGCATATCTTCAAGCTACACGCACATTCTGGATAGGGCTAAGTGAGTAACGGCGAGTGCAGCTCTAGCCTTAAGGTATCGGGTTAGAGCCCGGCGGTGCCATGGATGCTTGTAGTGGCTCGGAATCCACTTTAAATCGTAGATCCCGGTTTAATAGGATCGTAGAGTATTGTGGAGGTAGTGTTACTCGCGTCCGTAGCATATCTTCAAGCTACACGCACATTCTGGGTAGGGCTATGTGAGTAACGGCGAGTGCAGCTCTAGCCTTAAGGTATCGGGTTAGAGTCCCGACGGCGCCATGGATGTTTGTAGTGGCTCGAAATCCACTTTAAATCGTAGATCCCGGTTTAATAGGATCGTAGAGTATTGTGGAGGTAGTATTACTCACGTCCGTAGCATATCTTCAAGCTACACTTTAACCCTGGGTAGGGCTAAATGAATAACAGCGTTCGTCGGGGCAGTCCACTTTGACTAGTCACATGGAAATGGTCAATACGATCCAATCCTTGACGTAATTAACAAAAAATACTTTTGTTGAATACATAAACTTGGATTTTGGTTTATACAAGATATTATTTTATGATTATATGAAATTTTATGGTATTTTTGTCATTTTATCTGAATTCCATCAATAAAATTATTTGGATAAAAAGGATTTAAATTTATTTTAGTATTCAAAATTCGTGAATTTTTCATTGAATGTAAAATGGTGATGTATTATTTTATAAATCCTTTTTCAATATTATTATGTTAATAATAATCGTTATTATTAAATACTTTTTTCTTTCTTTTCCTGTAGTAACAGAAATTATCGGACCTCAGTACAGGACTTTATACGGAATCGGAGTCAACATGGGATGGATTATTGGATATTTAAGCCTTCCAGCCATTGCTTACTTCTTGCTGGATTGGTTATGGATCCAAGTTGTCATAACATTACCTTCCATCATCTTTTTATCATCTTATTGGTAAGATTCAGTTTTTAGTCATCTAAAAATAATTCCTTCAATACCATTGCTTCACGTTAATTATACCTACAATATGTATGCCTGACTCGTGGCTCAGTGACAACTTGCGCCTCTGGTGATCATTAGGTCTGAGGTTCAATCAGCTGGCGGCTTTGTTGTAGACACTGTTTCAAAAAAGGAGTAGACTCATTTGACGTTTGTGATGTTCAGAATCTTGCCTCGTGAGTCGGACTACCTGGTGGAAGTTTTCCTAGTTTTCTCCCATACGACACGTAAACGAGTCGTAGTTTCCACTAAAAATCTTCTCTGAAATCACTGCCCTCCTTCTTTAGGAACACGAATCCAAGTCAGATTTCTATCTACGGATGCTCCATCCCAACAGAAGCTGCTCCATTCCCTTCATCCACGAGTGGGCTACACATAGGATGTCCTTCCCGCATTGCAGGACATTGAGGAGTAGACACAATACATTGTATGCATGCTATCTCAGCTCCATATCTCAGCTATCCTCAGCATTTAATCCATAGTGTATAAATTTGCAAGAAAAGAAATAATTCTGAATTAATACAGAACTTTCGTGACATACGCAGAAAATAACAGGAATGAAATGACACCACGAAAGTGAATGTAAATGAACAAAATAATGTGGCCAACTGTAAGAAAGGTAAAATCCTTCATACACCACGGCAAGGCATCTGGGCGTGATGGGCTATAGCTCACATATTGAAATTTGATTTGGAGAAGTGCCTTGTATCAGAACTAGCACAGTCTTCTCCATATCCGGAATCCTAGTGGTCTGTTGGTCAATTGACCTGTGCTCTGGCTTTTGCTATCACAGGTTTCAGATTCAAATCCTGACCGTGCTATGGATGCTTATAGTGGTTCTGAATCCACTTTAAGCCGTAGTCCCGGTCTCATATGGTTTGGTTTGGTGTGTCGCTCTACGGTCATCTTGTGCACATTTTAGGCTAAACAGACCGGCACCTACGGCTTAAAGTGGATTCCGAACCACTACAAACCCCCATGGCACCGCCGGGACTCGAACCCGAAACCTGTGGTACCGAGCGCCAGAGCGCTAGCTACTCGGCCATTCAGGCCCCTCGGTCTCATATGAGCGTAGTGTCACAGAGCCCAATCAGATTTCTCTCTCCCCCACATCCTTCCTAAACTGTAAAGGAGCAACTCAGCTCTAGGCACACTGATGTGATGTGGTGTGGTGTAATAATAATAATAATAGTAGTACCACCATTCTTTTACGACTCATATCTGTTGTTCTGGAAGGGCCTGAATGGCTAGCGCTCTGGCGCTCGGTACCACAGGTTTCGAGTTCGAGTCCCGGCGGTGCCATGGATGTTTGTAGTGGTTCGGAATCCACTTTAAACTGTAGGTCTCGGTCTGTTTAGCCCTCGTGCGCAGAAGATGGCCGTAGAGCGAGAAACTAAACCAAACTGTTGTTCTGGAAAGAAATCTCGCTGATACAAGTGCCGAAGACAACTGCTGCAGGCGTCTAAAGAAACTACGCCTAAGAATACGTTTCATCAAATTTCGCTGCAAGTACAAGCTCTTTGCGGAAGGATCCTTCCGCCCCCGTAAGCTAGATGCATGTCCTCTAATTCCGGATAAGTATAATTAGCCATCCTACTTCCGCTGTGTCAATGCGTGAAATGAATAATCTCTGCGAGAATACTCAAAATTCCCAACATTGCTGTATGACGTTGGACCAACATCCACTTGGACTCATAAGCTGCCTAATTTAACCAGAGCCGTGTATCTTTCAGAAGGAAATATACTCCCTCTTAACGAAATTTCTACTCGCTATTTTAAACTCTGTTTTAGTCATTCCAGTTTTAATGGATGTTACGTACAATCATACATGTGATTGTGCAGATAAAATTGATAATATATATATATATATAACAGATCACCACCTATGCATATATAACTATGATCAACATAACTGAGGAGGGACTATTTTTTAACTATACTATGCATGATCGTGATGGTCGAATGGCTAGCTCTCTGTCGCTCGGTGCCCCAAGTTTCAGGTTCGAGTAACGGCGGTGTCCATGACAGTTTTTAGTGGTTCCGAATCCACTTTAAACCGTTGCACCCGTTTAATATGACTGTAGATCCTTGGAAGTAGGGATTGCAACTCTAAAGAAAAACCTCACCTTGTATCGAAATCGGACGGCATTGGCACACCATGGAGCTGATGCGCCAATGAAGAAGAATACTATGTGGATATATAATTAAATTACAATCTGTTCAGAACTATACTCGATGAAAAGTGAAAATCCTCTTAATTTTGAGCTCTAGTGTAATATCAACTATAATACAGATGGTTTCAAAACTTTTCTCTACAATAACTATGGTAAACATCGTCATTATATATTTATCTTATGGGCCTAAATTATTAATTATTTGCAGCACAACTTAATTTTTTTAACTCATCAACAATACTGAATGGGCCAACGGCCGTACCATGCTGAATATACCTTTTCTCGTTAGATCACCGAAGTCAAGCATCATTGGGCGCGGTCAGTACTTGGGTGGGTGACCACCTGGGAACACCGCGTGCCGTTGGCAAATTTGGGACCTGAATGGCCGAGTGTCTAGCGCTCTGGCGCTCGGTGCCACAGGTTTCGGGTTCGAATCCCGGCGATGCCATGGATGTTTGTAGTGGTTCGGAATCCACTTTAAGCCGTAGGTGCCGGTCTCCTATGACTGTAAGAGCGTCACGGAGCAAAAGTCAGGCTTCTACCTACGGGTGCTCCATCACAACAGAAGCTGCTTCCGTCCCCTTCAATCATGAGTACGTATGGACTCGTGGGCTTGGCCAGCCAAGTGGGATAAGAAACAACAAACAACAACAACACAATACTGAATTTATACAATGCCCTTAAAATTAAAAAGATGTTTATATCCAAAGGTAAAAATAGAAATATAAATGAAAATTTCTCATGGATATGACATGAGTTTAAAATTTGATTTTAAATGACTTCATTGTTCAACTAACATAATAATCATATAATGACAAAATAATTGGACTGAAATTATATACGTCTACCTCTGTATTTCGGCCATCGGAACCTTTGATGATGAGCTTTTAATTATAAAGTACATCTGAATGAGGAAAGTTCGAGAAGTCTCGCTTACTTTACAGTCAAATCATCTTTTTATCTTGTAATCTTATTTTGAAAATTGTAGCAATGGCTATACCGAATAACATTTTAAATAGTTTAATAAAAATTTAATTTTAGCATAATTGTAACAAAAGGCTTTCATGAATTAACAGCATAATTGAAAATTTTAAATTTGTATGAAAACGAATGCTAATTTAACCAAAAAAAAAAAAAAAATACAGAATCTTATTATTAAAAAATGTGAAATAAATTATTTTAATAATTTTCAAATAGTTTTCATTACCAATATAATAATTTTCAGTTAGTTTTTTCGGTAACAATATATAAGGCTATTGATATATTAATCTTTTACATTCTTCTGTATTTTGTTATATTTTCCAAACATTTCAAAAATTCAGTGATTACATTGTGATTCTTTTGTCTAACAGAGTACACAGTATAATAAACAGTATATAAAATAATATTGAAACAAGAAGATAAAATATAATAATAATAATTTTATAATGGATGTGTCGTTTGTTTGTGCAGCTTGATCTGGGTATGGTCGAGTCGCAAGTTTAAGAACACAGATTTATTTTGATGTGCACAAGTACCACAATTACAATTAAAAATAAACAATATTTAACACATAACATGTGAACTTAAAGAACATTCAATTAGAGATTAGTGGAAGGATTCCACTTCTAACTCTCGGAATGAAATATTGTAATTCAGCACCAGTTGCGCTATGCGTCCTCTCGGGTGAGAGTCTGGATGCCAACTGACGGTTTCTTCTGTAAGCCTCATGAGGAAACATGGTTGCGTAGGTGGAACTAACGGTTACAATTTATAATTAATATCAAACCCTTCTATCAATCACTTTTTTTTTTTTTACGTCTTTTGAAATATCATTCATCGTTGCCAATAATGTAAAGACATTTTCTAAATTTTGTCAATTTTTAAGGTGGTAATAGAAAAAGTCTGAAGCATTTTAAAGTTTCCAAACATCAAAAGGAAACAAAAGCACTTTTATTATTTTATCTTTTTTAAAGAAAAATACCTTAAAGTTTTAGCAGTGAACAGTTTTAGCAGTTTTGAGATTCATCAGAATATTTTTTGACAGGCTGCTACCAGAATCCCCACGTTGGCTGATCACACATGGAAAACTGGATGCCGCAATACAGTTACTACAAGAAGCTGCAAAGAAGAACGGTGTGGACTTTGAGAATATCGGATCTAAAGTGAAAGAGACAGTTTCTAAGACAAGTAAGGTAAAAGAAAATCATTTTGTGAGTTAGCCATTGTATGGTTTTTCAAATTTCTTCTTTTTTAATATTAATAGAAACACGTTAGTACTTCTTAATATTTCATTTTTAATCATGTCATTGTATATTAACACTAAGTAGTATATATTAATAGTGATATATTAATTTTACATTAATTGAATAATGTATTTAACATAATAGCTTATTATACTTTAGATGAATTCATTATCGAACTTATAACTGAACGATGAAATTATTTACCTCAAGATCTATCTCTTTACTAAGAGATAGAGTAGTGTAGACTAAGAGTAGACACGCATAGAAACATTTAATACATTCTAATTCATGAGATGCGAGAGATCATGAGTTTCGAGTAGAGTTCTGCCCAGTCGGGAGAGAACCTATTTTTATGTATCCGTCAGTAATTTCGCATTTTAGTGTGAATGCTACTTTAAGTATGGACGAGGCAAGAAACGTATGTTCCTTCATATTATATGAATCAGGATAGGATCAGGATAAAGTCACTCCTATCTGGTTTTTGTGTCAAGTATTCAAAAGATTTTTGTTTTTCTAATCCTCAGCCAAGGGGCTGATGGCCGAGTGACCTCCGCCCTGGCGCTCGGTGCCACAGGTTTCTGGTTCAATTGGTGCTATGGGAGTTTGTAGTGGTTCAAATCCACCGTAAAAAGTAGGTCCTGGTCTCATATGATTGTTGAGCCTAGGGCTGACAACCGTATGCCATAAAAAGAAAACATGTTTTGTCTCGAAATTAGACAGATGGCCTTAACCCACCACGAGGCTGTTGCGCTAATGAAGAATCATCTGCCAATTACTTGCTTACTTTTGATTACTTTATCAAGCTCAAACACAATGTGCCAGGTTCGAGAAATTTGGATGCCAAGAAATTATAGTAAAGTGTTCTGCATGCTGTTCTAACTCAGTACCAGCATTATGAACCATCATGCTGAAAGATGCTATGATGCCCAGGATCTGCATGATCAGTAAAGATCGTGGCATACTTAAATTAATCCCTTTTGTCATTACAGTGAAGAATGCATGCAGAGAATTCTATGAAATCTTTCCCCAGACTATAAAGCTGCTTTCGCTAGCTTGTATCCGTCTGTAAATGGTTGAAGGGTGTTTTGTTTTCTGGAATTTATCACCTTATCACCATCCAATAGAGCAATAACATCATTCATCGGAGATTTGGTTTAATTTCATTCGCCGCCCTACGGTCATCTTGTACACACGAGGGCTAAACAGACCGAGACCTACTCTTTAAAGTGGATTCCGAACCACTCACAAACATCCATGCCACCACCAGGTTTCGAATCTGGAGCCTGTGATACCCAAGGCCAGAGCGCTAGCCACTTTGCCATCATACCGCATACATCGGAGAAGACCGGCCTTTGTCAATCAATGGATATATAACATCAGTACTGCCGTGTAAATGCTCCATCATTAGCATAGTGCTGTTACCATCCATCTGCTATGGAACCAGTACGTAACCACATTCTCTGAATTAGCATATTGGACACACTTGCGGTAGCCCACTGGTTTATTTGAGGGTAAGTAACTCCATTGTGAATGGTAGATTCGCCAGAACCTCCTATCCACCGTTTGCTTTTTTATTTATATCTGGTATCATTGTCAAATAAATAACGATCACATAACATCCCTCACGTAAGTCAATAAATAAATAAATTAATCAATCAATAGAAGACTCGAATCTGTATGTATGTTTCCTTCATCATTATGGTATATTAATGTAAATCCGATAATTTTTATTAGTTAAAAAATAAAAATTACGTCTACATCGTCTGTTTGAAAATTTCTTCAAAAAATATACCTCTGAAATATACAATAAATATTTGTTAGATTAGTAAGGTATAATATATTGGAGCAGATAATGATTGCGAAAAATCTAGGTTGTTCAAATGATTAATTTGTAGGAAAAAAAATACAAAATAAAATATATTTCATATTTTTTATTACTCTTTCTTGTCATTAATTTGTTCTTTTAAATTTTTTATTATTATTTTTTTTTTCCTTTTTCAAAAATTAAAAAAGAAATTAAAATTTTTTTGAAATAGTTAATGAATTTTTTAAGTTTTTCGAATAATATAATTTAATAAGCTTAAATTAATATTAAAATGGTACACGATTCGATATGTATATCCAGGGAATCTAAATATTTTTAAATATGTTTGTGTCTTCATTTATGTGCATTTTTAAAGATTAAAAATTTTGATTTTTTTTTTTTTTTTTTTTTTTTTTTTTTTTTTCGGGGGGTATCCCCCATGAAACATTAAAATTTTCATTTCATAAAATTGTAAGTTAAAATTTGACAAATAAGTTTCATATATAAAGAAATTTATGTGACGAATTACATTAGATTCTTATAGTCAAAGTAAATCACAAATTTAGCCTCTTTTTGTCGGCGTTGTTGTTGAACTTCGGTGTAATTGTCTTCCGGGAGGATATTTAGGCGCAATTGGCCTACATTTATGTTCTTTTTAGGAATATTTCCTTGAACCTTAAAATGTAAATATTACCTTAAAATGTCATTTAATTAACATAAAAAAGCCAATAATTTAAACTTAATATAATTGATTTGATAACAAGGAGTGAAATTTGTACAATTTATGAGGAATTGATTTGTTATACTAAAAACTCATCAAAAAGTTAAAAGTTTGAATTTAATATGACAAATGAAGTTTTGCAATTTTAAATTTTGGACCTAGGATTACCAAGTTACAGAAAATAAGGCATTATAAGTGTTAGAAAATTATATCAAGAAGAAAAATATCAGTGCATAATTAAAAGAAAAAAAACTCGTTAATAAAAAATAAAAAAAACTCACCTCAAATAAAAAAAATTGTTTAAATAAAGCCATCATTCTTATCCAAGAATTTCAAATATTTCTTTTTTTCAGAATTTAATCTGTTAAGATTTGTTTTTAAGAATGTAATGGTCAAAAATGCTACATATCTAGAACTCTTTTGAAACTTTTACGATTTTGTTACTCTTTGAACTCTTACCACTTGAAGTGTAACCGTACTTCGTGTAAGAACTTTTTCTCCGCACTTCATTGTTGGTAGTAACTGGTGATAGACGCGTGTTATGCAAAATTCAAAAAAATATTGTGAACATTCTGTATTTTTCTTTATAATAATGCAACTAATTGAGCCAATC